GTGGGGACGGCAGTGTCGCTGCTGAAGGACCTCGACACGTTGGTGCCAGTCTTGCAGAAGCTGGGCTTGCAGCATGTTGGCTACAATGTGCTGCCAGCCCACTACGACGTGGTCGGCCAGGCTTTCATTGCCACCTTGGAGGACGCATTGCAGGCGGAGTTCACCGAGGCCGTCAAGAACGCCTACCTCAAGGTGTGGAACGTCGTGCAGACGACCATGATGGGAGACAACTACAGCTCGTCCTACTCGTACTGCGTGATTGCATGAGGGCTGTCCTCGCTTGAGTTGATGACCTTTGGCTCCGAATTTGTGCAGAAACAGTTTGTAGCTTTCGGAAGTTCCCACTGCGTTGTGATGGTCGGAGACCTTACAGTGCCATGTAAAGTGGTAGGCTGAGAGCATTCCCTGCATCCAGCATAATCTGATGTTGCAGGAAGTCCTCCTGTCCGTAGTCGGGAGCTAGGTGAGGTGCCCTAGACGGAAGTCAAAAGAGAATGGAGCCGAGGGAGACTTGCCTGAACAGAAGGTGAGCGGTGAGAGGGCATCCGTTATGCCGTTATGTCTGCTTGCACTTGGATGTTGAATGATGTTGACATGTTTCGCCACATCTTGCCCAGCGCCGAGTCGTCCAGAGACTCAGAGACAGCACCTGCCCAGTGTCCCCGCCCTCCACGTCCGCTCCAAGAATGGCCGCCGGCAGTCCTGTGAAGACCTCCGAGCTCCCGCTTGACTTGGTGAGCCCACCAGTTGAGGTGGATGCGCCCCTGGACGAGCGGGATATCGAGCTGGTGCAGACCACCTTCGCCAAGGTGGCCGCTGTAGGTCCGGAGGCTGCAGGCCGCATCCTCTTTGGCCACATCTTCCGCATCGCGCCGGAAGCGAAAGGCCTTTTCTCGTTCGCGAAGGACGAGGAGACGATGTGGCTGCCTGGAAGTCGACTGGAGAAGCACGGGGCGAGGGTGGTGACCACGGTGGGGACGGCAGTGTCGCTGCTGAAGGACCTCGACACGTTGGTGCCAGTCTTGCAGAAGCTGGGCTTGCAGCATGTTGGCTACAATGTGCTGCCAGCCCACTACGACGTGGTCGGCCAGGCTTTCATTGCCACTTTGGAGGACGCATTGCAGGCGGAGTTCACCGAGGCCGTCAAGAACGCCTACCTCAAGGTGTGGAACGTCGTGCAGGCGACCATGATGGGAGACAACTACAGCTCGTCCTACTCGTACTGCGTGATTGCATGAGGGCTGTCCTCGCTTGAGTTGATGACCTTTTGCGCCGAATTTGTGCAGAGACAGTTTGTAGCTTTCGGAAGTTCCCACTGCGTTGTGATGGTCGGAGACCTTACAGTGCTACGGAAAGTGGCAGACTGAGAGGATTCTTGGCAAACTGGCAGACTCTTCCCATGCAGGGAGTCCTCCTTTCCGTAGATCCGGAGCTAGAGATGCCGTAGAAAAACAGCTGCAGCGCTGGGAACAGAAGGCGAGGAATTTGACATGCTTTCTGGGGAGAAGCCGGGCTGGCGACATGGTGCCATGTAACAGCTGGAAGCTCCCGCAAACCCATCAGCGCCTGAAATGTGCAAACAAGTTTTCCGAGAAAGCCAGGTTGGAGTCGTCGATCGCAGAAGGGAGGAGGGGCTGAGAGCATTTTTTGGGCCTTAGCGATTCGAACAGGCTTTGGGGTTATATTGCAGGGTAGAACCTCTGAAGCGGGGTTGCTCTTGAAAAGGCCTTGTCGCCCGTTTTCAACAACGATGCGGGTTGAGGACATCGACAAATCGATGGTTGTTGCAAAGAGGTCGGAAAGCATCGTCTCAGCTTAGGAAGGGCCCCAGGCAAGCAGCATCATGTGAAGGTGCGGACTACAGAGCTGTGTAGATTTTCGTGCCTGTGAGCAACCGCGAGTCCTCGGCCTTCGAGTCCTTCGCCTACTCCTAGTTTTGCTGAGACGGGTTCCGTCATTGCCCCTGTTGCACCATTTGCGAGACCCTAGTCCATCTGGTCCCGATTGCAGTCCAAAGGCTTGACCGTCAACTCGCAGATCACCACTTCCCCAGTGCCGAGAAGCTGTACCTTCGAATCTGAAGAGCGTGTGCAAGCACTCGTTTTTCAGGACCGCACGGCCATGCTCGTTTCCGACGCTTCGCTCTCAGTGGGAGACAGCACCTTTGGGCTTCATGCCCTTCTAAACGTGGGATGCTTTGCTCATGCAGTGCAGAGAAGCACGGACTCTCTGCATCCGCTTGGCACTGAGTTGCCAAGCAAGAGTCGACATTGTGCCAGGATGCCGGGATCTCGAAACCTCCGTGAAGCCCATGGAGCTAGCGGTCGACCGACAGGTGATTCAAAGTGCATCAGGGCATGGCTGTGATGTCGGAGAGTTCGGAATCGGGCTTGCACAGGTAAATCCTTGCGATCATCAGTGCTTCACTCCGCATACAGTGCACGCCTCTGTATACGTGCACGTTCACAGATCCGGTAACAGTCTTCGACAGATCGTGACGTAGCGACGACGATAGGTCCGCAAATGCTCGGCGTTGATCAAAGTACGTTTGAGAAGAGCTGGAAGGACTCATGCAGCATCAGTCTTATCCTGTAGCATCGTATGCTGTAATGCAAAGGCAGATGCCATGAATTACTGTATGATACAAGAGCTTTATTACGTGACAATGATGAGATTGATAGTGGTCTCCTGGTTAGGAGAGAGCGCTTTGTTCAGGCAGCTGAACTTGTTCACAAGGGCCCCCCACACAGTACTAAGCCGGCCTCCAAACCTGCAACCGGCCCAAACCTTAAACCACAAGACCCCCCTCATTATGAGCCTAAGCCCTCCTGGAGGTCATCTGCCACCGTGGGATCTGAACTCCTCACGTGTGCTCCGAGCATTCCGAGCCTGGAGAGCTTGTGTGATGGCCCAGGTCGTGGCTCTGTTACTGCTCGCAAGCTCCTCTCGATCTTGCTGAAAGAAGCTGTGCCTATGTTCTATGTCGGACACTGGCCTTCCTGTCGATAGGAAGCTTCTGTAAACTGGGCGCGGTGGGATGCATCGGGATGTTCGAAACGATCTGTCTTCGTCCCTGCAGTGGCGGGCGGTGCGGCGTGAAAGAGCGCTTCGCGGTCCGAATCTCTGCCCGCCTATCGAAGACTGCCAGGGAGGTGCAGATTGCATTGGAGCACTTCAAGGAGGGTGTTTGACAGAAGAGGAGGATGGCGACGTAGCCTGACATCCCGATAGAGTGCCCACAGGTGCATGGACGCAGTCTCGACAGGAGACCATTCCTGCTGGCCGCCACTGCACAGCCTTGATAGCTTCGTTCAGAACGGTCGTGTGGTGCCGTCTCCTGGATCATTGAACCCTGGATCATTGAACTACGGAAGTCGATTTGACTGACAAGAGCGCAAAAGAGGTTGGCTGCTGCTCCCCGACGCCTGTCGATATTGCACCAGATAGTCAGATCATGTGACGTCGCTCTGGCATGAGGACCCCTAAGGTCGTAAAGACTTATCCTGGTAGTTTGCTGTGGGAAGCATGGTTTGGCGATCACGGCGGGGGGGAAGCTTCGCTGATTCAGATTTCCTTTCCACGATACTATAGCTATCCCAGATTATCCCAGCAAACGTATATGGTCTGGGTATGGTAGGCCATACGAAAGTATGGCAGATCATCTCGTACTGTATTCCAAGATAGTACATTCATCTACGTCTTGAGCTTTCCCTGGCTTGCGACCTCTGTTTTTGAGTTCCTGGCATCTTCGGGTTCTTTTGGATTTGCGGTCTGCATCCTGCCTTCCCTTAGCCCTCCGCCCTGAGCGGTACGGGGCCTCGAAACCGGAAGCCTTGAACCTAGAAAGCCCTTGAACCCGGAACCCTAACTTGGAGGATCATGGGACTTAGTATGGTTATAAGTACCCTAATTGGGGTTATAAGCAGTTATAAGTATAGTTACCCTAATAATAACCTTTGTTTCTAAGTCCCATGATCCTTTGAAGCCCTGCGCAAAACCCAATGGTCCGTTTTGTGTTTTCACTGCTCTGCACTCCGCCGGGCCATGCTCAAAAGGACCTGGCGACCTAGTCCAGATCCCTAGGCGCCACAGAGGGTTCAAATCTTCGAATCCTTGTGCCCGGTGGTCTTCTATTTCGGGTTTTTATACCATCGACCGAAGCGGCACCAATTTACCACACGCGAGCAACTCAAACGGAGCACGGGGTTGCATGCAGCACGTCATGGATATCAGAAGCAATTAGTCCAGAAAAACTTCTGGGGCCGTCCACCGCTGAGCTCTCAGGCTTCGGGGTCCCTTAGGCTGAAGGAACCACCAGGCGCAAGGAGGCACCTTGGTCCGATTTTGGGCTGGCCGACAACTTGCCGAGCCTGCGCCCCAGGATCTCATCCTCTTCTTTGTGGCTTCGAGCTATTTTGTCTAGAGGATGTTTGCTGCAATAAAGGAGTTCCTGGTTTCTTGACGGCGACCCAGTGGGCTGGGGGCCGTCTAGTAGATATTCCTTCCAAGACAGAGCGCCTGAAGTGTCGACATCGGGTTTCAATCCTGAAGCCGAGAATCCTTACTTAGGCATCCCTTGTCTTTACGCGCCACAGGGGCTTCGCAGGGGGTTGCGAGTACTACTGTTGATGATATAAATCCTGCATTACCCATAATAAGGAATATACCATTATTCCCATAGTTTAAGGTCCTTAAGGTAATGCAGGATCTTTACCATCAGCCGTAGTACCTGTATGGGGGTCTACTTGGGCCTGACGAGGGCTTGGCAGGGACGTACTGGAGACTTAAGAAGGGATCATCATGTCTCGGAATCTCCGTTGAAGCAGATGCCTTGACCATCCTTGACCTGAACGTGTCCCCCGCATCCAGGCCCCTGATCAAGTCTCTGCCAACGCACCGCTCGGAACCGGCCCTCAACGTGAACTCTGGGCACCAAACCCTCCCTTGCCACCCATAAAGAGCTTCAGAAGACCAGATCTCGTGTTTGCGCCCAGGCAAGGATGAGTGCCGCCGCCAAATATGGTGCGGAGACCCAGTCGGAATTCAAGACTTTGACACGGGAGGACTCGATGCAGTACGTCCAAGATCAACTTCCTACTGAGAATCAGAGCTCGCCCTCCCATGCGCATCTGGAGAACTTCGGCCGGGCGTGCTACAGTCTAAACCTTAAGCCCCGACCCCCCCAAGATGTCAGACCCGAAAAGGCAGGACTGCGAATCGAAGCCCTTCAGGTAAGGGGAGTGTACAACCTTAAAGCTGGAAGCCCTGAAATCATGGAGCCTTTAACTTACCTTTGGTTAGTAGGGAATGGAGGAATGGGGAACAGTTGTAACTACCATTACTACCATTCTTCCATTCCCTTCCTTGCCAAAGGTAAGTGAACTCAAGGCCCCAACCCTACTGAAGCCGCCCTAGCCAGCTGCCTTCGCATCGAAGGGGTTGCGGTACATGCTATGCCGTAGCAACCTCCCCTTACGAAGCCTTCAAGGAACCTTTAAAGCCCCTCGCCCCTCCTCCTCTCAAAAAATCGCCTAGCAAACTGCAATATTCCCTAAACCCTTCACCGTATTCCCCTAAACCCAAACCCCAAACCCCTAAACCCCAAAGCTCTAAACCCCTAAGCCCTAAACCCTAAACCCCAAAACCCCTAAACCCCAAACCCCTAAACCCTAAACCCAAACCCAAACCCAAATAAAAGGCCTTCCTTTTCTTGGGAGCTTTCGAGGTGCGCCCAATGGGCCGGAGCCGGGCTCCCCGCAGTCCCCGGGGTCGCCTCAGTCGCCCGGGGGGCCACCCAGAGAGAAGTCTTTCGGGGCGCCTGGGCCGAATCAGGGTTTCGGGTTCAGGGAATAGGGTTTAGGGTTTGGCGTTTAGGGAATAGGCTTTAGGGTTTGGGGAATAGGGTTTAGGGAATAGGGTTTAGGGTTTAGGGAATAGGGTTTAGGTTTAGGGAATAGGACTTCGAGCCCCCCCACGGAAGACCCGGGCCCCAAGCAGCAGGCCCTCAGAAACGAAACCTTAAGCTTCAGCTTCCGAAAGCATCGCCGGAGGCCTTGTCCCAAGGTGTGGCCTCCGTGGGTGCCAGGTCAGAAGGCACGTGCTCTCAGGGATGGGGCCTTGCTTCTCAGGTTCTTAGGGCAAACACTCTTTGTGGCTGTTCGTTCGGCAGAGCTCTCCAGAAGTCTGAGATCCTTGCATCTTCTTCTATTCTGCCGTTATTTTGAGCTCCTTACTTGCATGTCACTGCATTACTTCTTACTGACTTGGTTATGATGAGCTTTGAACCTGCATCTCGCGCCCCAGGCTCTAAACTCTAGATTGCGAAACCTTGCACCGTCCCGTTTCGACAGTATCAAGTATGCATAGTATATATGTATAGAGATAACATGTACGCACGTACGGGTACATGTATGTGTGTGTACATATGTACACACATATATACATACAGGTTATTCATTTAGGATCAGACTCAACTTGTTGGCACGTGGCTTGATTCCTGTTCTTGGTCGTCAATTTGCAGGCGTGATCAGCACATCTGCGCAGCTGGGACCTCGGAGCAATGCGAACGCAGGAAGGTGGGCGCATAGGTGGGTAGGTAGGTGCACTTGCTTGCATGCTTGCTTGTTCGGATCAGAGTGTGTACTTGGTGTATCTAGGGGCCATCAGAGCGAGCGGTTGGCCGGCACAGAAGCAGATGCCGAGGCAGAAGAAGAGCAACACGATTACAGAAGAAGACGACTGCGAATATAGATGCATCCCCGAAAAAATACAAGATATCCAGATCCTGACAAGCAGCTAGATTCGCCTCAGGGCATGGCAGCTGCAAGCTTTGCAAGATTTTGCGGTGGTTCTGAGGTCCGTGAAGTCTGCTCTTTCTGGTACTTCCCCGAACGGCCTGGCCCTCAGATCCTCTGACTCCTTGGGATTCGTTGCGTGGAGCTAAACCCAGCTGCAGCTTCTTGGAGAGCACTTCTCGCAGGAAGTCGAAAGGATAGAAAGGGGAACGCGATCAAGAAGGGACAGGCGCGCCATGATGCGAGCGGTCAGACCTGAAGGACAGGTCAAGTAGAATGCCGCATGTATTCCCTGTCTGAGGGCAGATCGAAGCCAGCCCTTAAAATCCTAAACTCTAAAGCTTTAAAGCCCTAAACTCTGAAACCCCAAACCCCAAAGCCATGAACCATGACCTGCACCCGATGCACAGCCCGAGCCGGCCCCGGCCCCTTGGCCAGACCAGCAGTCACAAACTCACCTTCGCCGATCAGCTGGGCAACAAGGAGTCCTTGACTGAGGTGGGAGCCCGGAGCCACTTGATATCTAGATGTATGTATATATGTATGTATGTATGTATGTATGTATGTAGGTATGTTTACATACGTATATACAGCCACATATATATATATATATATGTACAAAAGCAACAGGGTTTGTGTAGGTATATGAACAAATATAGATATAGGTGATATATGACATATGACATATGACCTATGATGTATGTGTCATGTGTGTGTATATATATATATATATATATATACAGATATACAGGGGTTTCCAGCAGCACTTACCATCTTGTGGGGGCAGACTCCTGTGTGATGGGCATCTGTCGTGACCCAGCCCCTGAGTTAAACGGTTGCCGTACTTGGAGGTTCATGGGTAGTTATAAGTAGGGTTCATAGGGGTCCTTTAAAGGGATCTATAGGGATTCGATAAGGGTATATGGTTAAGGGTTCATGGGTAGTTATAAGTAGGGTTCATAGGGGTCCTTTAAAGGGATCTATAGGGATTCGATAAGGGTATATGGTTAAGGGTTCATGGGTAGTTATAAGTAGGGTTCATAGGGGTCCTTTAAAGGGATCTATAGGGATTCGATAAGGGTATATGGTTAAGGGTTCATGGGTAGTTATAAGTAGGGTTATAAGTAGGGTAACTATACTTATAACCCATATCAGGGGACTTAGTTATCACCCTACTTATAAGTACCCTGAACCTCCAAGCAGGGCATGGTGGTGGTCGCGACAGGGCTGACAGAAGGACAGAGCTATCTTCCGCAGTGAACTCGTGTATTGGTAGAAGGACAGAGCAATGTTCGAATAAACTTTGATCGGTAGCTCCTGAAGTAGAGCCCCAGCTGCAAGACAAAGGACATGAATAATTTGCAAGCCCCTGGGGGCTAGCCCGGCCCCCCAAACCATGACAATGCTGGTAGTAGTAGTGTTAGTGGTACGAGTGACACTTGTTGTTGCCGCCGTCGTCCTCAGTTGTTGTCGGAAGACTCATTTTCGAGTCTGCGGCCACGCATGCTGGACAGATGATGGCTCAGGTACGTACGCAAGCTGGCAGAACAAAACCATAGCTCTGCAAGGGCAGTGCGTGCTGCCCCAAACCTTAGCCTAGTAAAGTCTCCCTGCAGGCCCATGTAAGAGAGGAGCTCAGAACCAGTGCAGCCTGTTTCTGGCTTACACCAACATCACCTTATTAAACTCCCTCTCTAAGTCTGGTATAACTGTAACGTACATTCTGGCTCGTTCTTCTCGGTTTCTCTCCTTCGGCCGTGCCATGATTTTCTCCGGGCTCCAGCCCTGGGCGAGCGGAGGCCACGCTTGGCGCCAGGCTCGGGGGAGCCCAGGAAGCAGAAGAGAGCTTTATCTACAGGGCTCTAAGTATTAATAGTTAGAATGTGGGGTTGGGGAATCTTCTACCATATAGCTTTAGGCCCTATAGTAAGTAGATCTGGAGTCATAGGTTCCTAAAAGTTTAGTATGCGATATCATATGATATGAAAGTATGGTGTCGCGGCATGTGTTACAGTTACAGGCTATGACGGCATCGAGCAGTTTAAGGCTTCGAGGTTTCGACGGCTTCTGTTTTCTGTTGTGGGCTTGTGAGGCTGATGGTGTTTAGTGTTCGGGGAGGAGCCTTACAACCCCTCATCCCTAAGCCCCAAAACCCTAGACCCCAAAACCCTCAACCCCAAAACCCCAAAACCCTAAACCCAAAACCCCAAAACCCCAAATCCCTAAACCCAAAACCCCCAAACCCTAAAATCTTGCCCCTAGAGGAGCCCTTAGAGGAACCCCTGTGGGAGGCTCAGCCGGCTCAGGCAGCTGCACTTGCCAGCAAGGCCTCAGACAAAACTCCAACAATGTAGGAACCAAATTAGGGTTTAGGGTTTAGGGTTTGGGGTTTGGGGTTTAGGGTTTAGGATGTAGGAACCAAATTAGGCAACCTTGGGGGCAGCTATTAGGGTTCCTTGTATATGAATCCTACTTTTTTGGTGTTATAGGCCCATTTTTTCTTAATCAGGTTCCTACATATCCCTTCATCATCATCTTAAGATTAAGGATGCTTTCGCGACGGTAATTAAGGGTATTAGATTAGAGGGTTTTGGAGAGGGCTTCCAGTCTGCCGAAGACGTGGGGGAGCTCTTAATCGCCGCTGGGCTTGTCGGGATGGCCGGAACACACAGATCCGCGTGTTCGGCGTTTGAGGTTTCAGAGAGCCATGGGCCTGCACAGAGTCATATCCCTTCAATTGGGGTCCCTGGTTAAGGATGCTCACTTTCATTGAAGGGCGATTCCGAAATCAGATGGTTTCGGGGACTTTGAGTATCCTAGACTCCAGACCTTCGTGAAACCCCTCCGAAACCGCTTGGAAGCTACATAAGCCTTGGTTCTTCAATTTTTTTGTTGGTTTTTGGAGGTTGTTTTAGAGTCTTGAATCTTGTTTTACGTCGTCTCCGAAACCCTAAACCCTGCGGGTTAGGGTTTAGGGCTTATGGAACTCGGAACTGATGTTTTTCGATGGAGTCTGGGCCAGTCAGGCAAAGCAGCCTCGGCCTACTCCGGTGGTTTTTCGGCCGAGCTCGCAACTGGGTCAGAGCTAGGGCTCCGTTTTTGGTGTGTTCAGGCTTTTGTGGTTTGGGGTTGAGGGTTAATTAATGTAGGAACCTGGTTCAGAAACCGTGAGCCTTTGTTACGGCTCCTTATATGGTTTCTTAATC